TTCCGCATTCGATTTTCATCTAAGACATACGTATGTTCGCGTGTCACCAGACGTTCTACCAACTTCAGATCGAAAGCTTTCCAGGGACTGTCTATTTTACATTTCAAATGCAATCTTCCATTTATTCGCTAGTTGAAATTGGAAAAATATTTTAATACACTTTATAGTAAAAGCATTCGAAATGAAAAGGCAGAAAGGGAAAATTTAAGTTGTGATGACATGGCGATTTTTATTCATGTTTTAAAAGATACAGAGTGCCCCGAATAAGTAAAAAATATTATTGTTGCATTTTTTTAAATGGAACACCCTGTATATTATTCTATTTTTAGATTCTACGATTGAAATAAAGGTAAATTTGATTAAGGTTTATCAAACTAAAACCTAACCGTTTTTGAAATATTTTCAATTTTATGAAATTGCAGTAAAAATATTAAGGCTTCATTTCTTCAAGGATATCAAAGTCTTTAATACTAATATTTACTGAAGATTATTTATTGATCAGATTTTGTATTGCAATAATAAACATTATAGTACCTTCCTTATACAGAGTGCCCAAAAATTTATATTTAATAAATTAGTAGCTTTAGACGGCAATAACTTGTTTAATTTAAATGGAACGCCCTGTATATTTTGGGTGAATCAAATACAAAATTTAATTGTCTGTCAAATTGTATTATACCATTATCTACCTATTTCTTCAAGTTTTCATAGAAAATTTATCTACTTACAATTTAGACCTCATTTACCACTTATTACAAGGGTTCTGTTAAAATGATTTTAACAGAACGTCAACGGTTTTTGTAAACGTAGCTGTTTAAAAAAAAAACTAAAGTGTTCTCGAATAGTAGAATTTTAAATATTTTAAATACTTTTTTTTCTTTATTCTTTGTATTTTTGTTTGCTTCCCACGACGGAAAGAGATAAACTTTCCGAAACTTTAAGCATTTTTTTGTTCGTTGGGCAAATTTGTTTATCTGTAAACTTAACTGCTGATAAGTAGTTTCCGATGAATTAACGAAGCAGTGTTTAGAAAAAATCACTATTTTATTTTGTAGATTTTCTTGCAGTGCACAGTAGTTCCCAGATAGGTCATTACTTAGAAATATTAATTTCAAAATGTTTGCATGAAACTGTTGCTAATACTTTTCTTATATTCCCCTGTAAACGATACATAATAAATAACAAAATCAAGTAAGCCTAGTGTAGCGCTTTTTTTAATAGAAATGTCACATTTTTGCTACTGGTATCAAGCTGACATAAACAGTTTTCAGATAACGCCAATTAATTACTTACAAAGAATATACCTAGCTAGAAAAAGAATGGACTCTGGCATACTGAAAAATGGTCCTACAGAAGTGGCGCCATCTATTGAGTAGGGTTTGTTTTAAATGGATCGAAGCGCGGGCTTTTTAAATGAGCGTATTTATTGAATTTTACTCTAAAATAATTAAATTTGATTGTTAAATCTTAATTTTTACACAAATTCAACAATACTAACAACAAGTATCGTTGTGACGTGTAAAAAATAAGACTTAACAGTATAATTTATACAATTATTAAATAAAATTAAAGCCAAACATGTGTAAATATTGTTTATTATTTAAAGTTTTTATTAAGTCAAATATTTAAACATCGTTTATTATAATAAAACAAGACCAACGTAATACGCCCAAAGTTTTGTAAATGGAGTAAATATAAATAGGTACTTAAATGATGGCAAAAATAAAAGACTTACATTATATTTTCAGGGCCACAAACAAAAGGAATTGTCTAATTAAAACACATATAACAAATTATAGTTTGAAAAACGTTTTGATAATCATTTGATAGTATTATGATCATTGCCTGGAAACTTATATGGTGAAATTGTGATAAAATAATTTAGTACTCACTAAAAACACGGTATGTCGCTAGTGGTAAGAAAAATAATTTTTAGAGGTTACTAGTTTATTTGGTTGCCTGTGATATGCATATACAGGGTGTTTCCTAATAAATCTAAAAAATAAAAAATCGTTAGAAACGGCGGGCTCTTAATAAGTATATTTATTTTTTTCTCGGCAACCGTTTGATGAACAAGAAAAACTCAAAAGATCAATTTTGTTGAAAAAGGATGGCCAGTCAAGAAAAATATATATTTCCCTTAAAAAAGCAGTAGTGTGCCATTTATGTTAAGCAAAATATCGATTTTTTCTTAATTTTTAACACCGTGTAGATCAGAAAGGAGAAGTACATTAGACCCAATGGTTATATAAAAATTGGGTAAATTGTTTTAAGAACACATGAGGAATCACACCACAATTTTTTAGACTAATTAGAAAACACCCTGTATATTGTCAACTTGACAATGATTGTTGATAAATCAAAAAATACCTTCTCTGTGAAAAAAGCCCGATTTTCGCAGAAAAAATTTTGGTTTTTATTGAATTTGGGCCGGCGTCTGCAAATACCGGTATGTTTTTTAATATTCTATCTATCTAAATTTTAAATATCATAGTCAGAAATAGTTTTATTATTTATTAACTGTAAAAATGGTATACTTATAAGTTTTATCAAATATTGTGATTTATTAGTATTTTAATAAAGCACGCTTTTAGATGTTTCAAAAAACTTTTAATAAGAGTAACTTTAACTCTACATATATGTTTCGGCTTCACCAATCCTGGCAAATCAAAATGTCACCCTTTCATAGTTTAATTCATAGATTAATAATGTTTCCACTGAGCCCAGAGAATTTTAAAAAAGAGTTAAATATTATTAAACAAATCGCCATCAACAATGGATATAAGTGTTCCCTTATTGATAATATGCTAAAGAAAAAACAAAAGAAAATATTAATGAAAAATTTTTATTCCGCTAATTCTAAAGACAATAACAATTATCGACTTTTAAACTACATTCCTAATTTAACTAACAAAATATTAAATAATCTCAATAAAATAGGATGTAAAATTATTAACGTAAATAAAAGAAATTTAGGTCAAATTTTATTAAATAATAAAGACAAAACTAATGTCAAAAATAAGTCGGGTGTATATAGAGTGGATTGCAATGATTGTGATGCCGTGTACATAGGCCAAACAGGTAGAAATTTAGATATAAGGATTAAAGAACATGTAAAGTCTATTAATAATCTCCAGCAAAGTTCTGGTCTTGCAACTCATTGTATAGTAAATAATCACAAAATTAATGAAAACTCAATTAAGTTACTACACAGAGAAACAAAAGGTAGACGCTTAAATTACATTGAACAGTTAGAAATACTAAAATCTGTTAAAAACGAAAATAATGTTAACGACCAACAAGGATTTCTAAATTCTCTCTACATTTTTTATTACCCCTATTGTAAACTCTCTGAACCACCCCCAAATATATATATATATATATATATATATATATATATATATATATATATATATATATATATATATATATATATATATATATATATATAGTTACAGTGTAGTTAGACGATTAGTTCTTAAAAAACTCTTGAAAAAGGCCTAATAAGCCGAGACATATATGTAGAGTTAAAGTTACTCTTATTAAAAGTTTTTTGAAACATCTAAAAGCGTGCTTTATTAAAATACTAATATTTCAACGATGTTTCACAAGGAACCAACCACAGCTTCAGTACAATTTATTGTGATTTACTTTCTACCTTGTAGTCAAAATTTATATTTAATAAACTGTAAAATATATAGATTCTTATGTTTTATTAAAGTTACTCTGATATACTAATATATCAGTGTAACTTTAAAATTAAATCTTATAATAACTTTTTTGAATTCAAATATAAACATGAAACACATTTACAGCAGAAAAGGCGAAGGCGCTGGGTTAAACGTAGTCTCTACTAAGAACACGGAGGGGCGCTTTGACCCAAAATTTTACTATTAAGTTTCATATCTATCTTAATAGAAGATTATTTTCTTTTATCTATGATTATGATTGGTGCTATGACAACGACAATATTTTTTTTTGAAAAAATTAACTGCACTACTACCTAGCGCCTGAGGCTGGAACTATTTTATTTGAAATTTCCGTGGAAACAGTGGAACCGCTTTTGCTATTTCACTTTCCCGCCCCTGATTACTTATATTATTAAAATTGATAAAAGCTGTTGCCTTTTCTGTAATGGACGTTCGAAAAAAAGGTAAAAACAACTGTTTTTTTTCCTTTTTGCACTTAATTAAACCTAAGTAATATTAGTTTATGGCAATTTTTTTGAAGGCAACAAAAATAGTATTTTTACATTTTTACTTGTCACTCTTTAAGACTTTTAAGTACTTTCCCTTTCAAATCCTCTTAAACGGCATGATAATACTTGTTGCTTAAAGTATATTGCATATAAATTAATTGCCACTGGCTGCCGCGAATTGCCGCCGGATCTTATACCGGGTGGTTAAAGATTGACTTTTTGTCTTAAAATAAAAGTAACTTATTTTTTTCTCTTCGTGTCAACTTATTTCGTGGACACACTGTATATCAATTGACAATAAAATTGTATTTATAAAATGAAACAACTGTCTCTTTTATTTTTTCAACATTTAAAATAAATTTGACCTCTTCAATATGAAAAAACATGTACATATGTGCAAACATAATCTGTATACCTTTCCGAATAGTTAGAACTTAAAATGCAAATCACACGAACTGGGCCCAATTTTTTTAATACATATTACATTAAGTTTTTTATACACATTTATTTAGCGTTTGTTATCAATTTCTATTAAAAAATGTGCAGTCAAGCTATATCAAGATATCTAACAGTTATGACCGCGAAAGCTAATTAAGGGGAACCACTGTGTAGTGGCAAAATACCCATACAGGATTTTTTTTGGAGGAATTACTCATAATTTTATAATAACACAACCCTCCATAACCTCTAAATTTATCGCAATTTTCATAATATACCCAGTTATCAGTAACTTCACACAAATAAACCAATACACCTTTTACTTCAATCGGTTCGCCAACTCTATTCCCCTTAGTAAACTCACCTGACTAGTTTGACTTCGAACTTGTAGCACCTGTTGAACTCCATGAAAAATCGCATCGCCCACAGGTAATAGGATTCGTCGTGAACCTGTGCCTTCGCCCGCACCAAGTTGTCCTTGACGTAATACATCAAAGTGTTGTATGAACCGTTCAAAAATTCCACGCAGAATTCCTTCAGGAACAGGCGAATGCTGAAGGCGGATCGGCGCTCCGTCTGCGACGCTTTTATCTGGCAAACGAGACAATCATTAGAATTACTCGGCCGGCAAAAATTGGAGGAAACTTCAAAGGAGAGAAATAATTAGAAAAACGGTCCTTGTGCTTAGAGTAACAAAATAAGGTATAAGCACAGAATATCTAGCTACGCAACAGAAAAATACTCGAAATGAAAGAGCTAAAATTGCACAAATAGAATACTAGATGGCGCGACAATATCATAATCAGAATATAATTAGAAATTTTGAACTTTCGGTTTTGGATCGACGGCTCGTGGACGGCCTTATAGCTCGGCTAAATATGCACAGTTGCCAGATTCAAAAAGACTTAAATTGGCATCCCATTCTTTTTATTGTGTATAATACAGTATGTGTTTCTATTCTTCTTTTCTTGTCAGATACACTTATATTAATTATTCCTTTGACTATTAAAATAGGTTTAAGTATATTATTACAAAACATATTATTACATTTTTTATATACACTACCTTATAATGTTAACTAAGAAAATACTTTTAATTACCTTTAAAATTAATAACATACAGGGCGATTGACAGTGATATTTATTAATGCAGGAACGTTAGTAATGAAATATAAGTTTAATAATAATGGAAATAATTTATTAAAATACAGTACAAAAATGTTAACTGACTAAAAAATACTATAATAACAAATTTCTTCCGTTTGCCACGTTATTTATATAGACCTAGGTAGATTTTAAAAAGTGACACAGGTACAATTAATAATATATTAGTTGGGCATAAAAGTTGCTGTCACGGCATCGAACAATAAATTAAAATTCGTAAAATAAATTAAAATTATTAATTAAACAAATCTTTATAAAGAAACGCAAGTATACCAAATTTGGGCCCAATCGAACTCCAGGAAATAATATCATAATAGTGTACTATATTATGGTACCACTCGGTATGCTTTAAGGTACCATAGTATTGCAATGTCACCGAAGATCCATAGTATACCAAATTTAAGAATAATCGAACGCCATGAAATGGTATCGTAATATGGTACTATATTAAGGTACGACTTTATATACATCATAGTTCAATCATATTATAATGTAACCGAAGATACGTAGTATACCAAGTTTGAGCCCAATCGAATGCCAGGAAATGGTATCGTAATATGGTACTATATTAAGGTACCACTTTATATACATCATAGTTCAATCATATTATAATGTAACCGAAAATACGTAGTATCCCAAGTTTAAGCCCAATCGAATGCCATGTACGTAATATAGTACTATATTATGGTACCAGTTGATATGCTTCATGGTACCATAATAATGCAATGTCATCAAATTTTTGCGTATTTACGCAAGTATATATCAAATATGAGCTCAATCGAACGCCAGGAAATGGTATTGAAATATAGCTAATAGTAAGCTATATTAAGGTACCACTTTATATGCATTATAGTACCATCATATTACCATGTAACCGAAGATACGTAGTATAACAAGTTTAAGCCCAATCGAACGCCAGGAAATGGTATCGTAATATGGTACTATATTATGGTACCTCTTATTATGCTCCATGGTACCATAATATTACAATGTCACCGAAAATACGTAGTATACCAAGTTTAAGCCCTATTGCCGCCATGTACCTAATATTGCTATATGGTACTATAGAAGGTACCACTTTATATGCTCCATGGTACCATGATATTACAATGTCACTGAAGATATAGTATACCAAGTTTAAGCCCAATCGAACGCCATGTATCGTAATATAGTACTATATTATGGTATCACTTCTGAAAAAAATGGCGTCCAGTTGGCTGGAAAAGGACGATCGATGACATTTCCCATATAAATTTACATATAAAATGACAGCGATATTCATTTCATAGCTATCGCTAACGCCGTTTTTTCCCGATTGTACGATATGAACTTGGTAACACAATCGAACGTCAGGAAGTGGTATCATAATAGTTGAACAATACTTATTATATTGTCGCCGAATTACAATGAAACAGCTCTGATTTATTTTAATATGTTTAAATGATGTAGCAAATTTGAAGGTAGGCTTTATCAGGAAGTATTACGATATGAATTACACAATGGCAACACTGCACAAAATTCTTTTAAATTTTGTTTGTAGAAAACTGCTTTCTTTTAAATTTATTGCCCTCTATTATGTAGTAGTGAAACTACCACATGAAAATATCTGATTTGGTTTGGTTTGGTTTGGGTTGGAAAAGGAGACAGGCTTTAAAAGCCTGTCTCCTTTTCCTACCTACAGTTTTATACATGTAACGAGGCTTCTGTAGCGTAGCTAGATATTCTGTGGTATAAGGTATAAAAGATCCTTTTTTATTTTTATGCCAATTAGAGTTCTTAGGATGATAATATAGAAAATACACAGAATATTAGAAGCATTTTTTAATGGCTCCCAGGCTGAGCGTGCATTGCAATTTTCTAGAGAAGTACAATATCTAAATCGGAGATTTTTTGTACATCATTGTTTCACAATGAGATTTATGGATTAAAAATATTTTCAATATGGCGACACCTCCGGAAATATCGGAATTTGACAGCAACTTTCTTATTTTAAATGGGTACCCCGTTTTATTATATATTTAAATTATCTGTAAACTTTTAAGAATTTTTATATCAAACACTCTATACCTAACATTAACGGTTTTTAAGAAAAAAATATTTACAATTTTTGGAGCAAAAAACTGCCTGTCAAAAAATTATATAGCCTAAACGTCAACTTTAATGATTACCGCAACCACTGTGACATACTTAAAGAGAAGACATGTGGCTATCTATTTCAAAAATTAAGTTGTTTCAATATCATATAATATTGGTTGTAGCTGTCGTACAATCGAGAAATTAAAAAATTATCATAAATATTTTTTAAACCCACTTTTTTATTTCACTAGTGAAAAGGTTTTTAATTCGTTACTTTTTTTTGACTATACATATTTCTACAGCTAAAATAAATCGTTTTTAAGTTATTTAAGATTTAGTTTTAAAGCGTATATTTTTCTAGATTTTAACCAGTAGCCTATGACTTGTCAAGCTATGCCAAGCGATGTAAAACTATATCTGGCCATTAGATACAGTATTGGCCATAAGTGGATGAACTTTGTTAAAATAATGGGTTTTTCCTAATCTGTTTAAAATTAAAATTTGAGCTATATTTACTTAAAGTCTAGTGTCAGTGCTATAAAAATAAATAGCATTGTTTTTTTTAAAATGTGCTTTAATAAGGTAGCAAAAAATTTAAATTGAAAAAACTATTGGACAAAATATATATTTAATGAACAAAATATATATTTAATAAAATAAAAATCTTATGTTAACAAAAACTGAAAAATTAACTTATAATTTACTAGTACTTAGTGTAATAACCCTTATTCTTAATTACTTTCAGACATCGCTTAGGCATGGATCCCAGAAGATTTTCAATTATAGGAAAATCGATATTTTTCCAAGACTCTTCCAAAGCTGCAAATAAGTCTCGCTTATTTTTGTAGAATTTGGTCCTAATGTGTTGATCCAAAATTTCCCATAAATTTTCTATTGGATTCAGGTCTGGGGATTGCGATGGCCATTTGAGAACAGTCACCATTTCATTTTCCAAAAACCTTTTAACCAATTGTGAGGCATGTTTCGGGTCGTTATCATGTTGGAAGTAGTGTACAACTGGCATTTTTTCCTCCAAATAAGGCACTAAAAGATTTTGTAAAATGTCTCTGTAGCCAAACCGATCCATTATGCCCTCAATTTTATGGAGAGGCCCCATCCCATACCCAGAAAAACACCCCCATACCATGATTGAGCCCCCACCATGTTTTACAGTGGATCGCGTGTACTTTGGTAGCAATCGGGAGGTCTTCTTACATGTTGAATTCCATCTGATGACACCAAATTAAACTTTGATTCATCACTAAAACAAACTTTTTTCTATTGTGCCACAGTCCAGTGGCAAATGCTAATCGGGCCTTCAAATTTTTTTTTGATAGCAGTGGTTTCTTGGCGGGTCTTCGGGAAAACAACTTCTGGTCAACTAATTTACGTCGGATCGTCCTTGTACTCACTGGTGGATAGCCCATTTCTTCAAGTTTTGCTTTTATCTTCGTTGACGGCAAAAATGGATCTTGTAAAGAAATTCGTTTTATGGCTTTTATCATATTGGGACCAACTTTTTTAGGTCGTTCTGGTTGTCTTTTTATAGAGACATCTCCTCTCTCATTATATCTCTTTAAAATATAATGTACCGCTGATTTTCCAAGGCGTAATTGCTTAGCGATTTCCGATTGCTTCAAACCATCCTTAAAAGCATTCACTACTCGCAACTTAAGATCTGCAGACAAGTTAATTCCACGTGGCAGGATATATCACAAGAGCTCAAATGTTTTAAAATCGCAATTGTTCATAAAAGCAGAACAAATGAAACTAACGATTTTTAAAAATATTTGGTTCATCTACTTTTGTCCAAGACAAAAAAGCAATATTTGCCAATTCTTGTCTATAAATGATAAGACTAACAGAAGAATTTATATTTGTTTGTAGTATTTTGGTGAGAATGTATTAAACTTTTAACATACAAAGGTACATAAAATAATTTTGATATTTAACACCTCAAATCTGATTTTCTTCGCAATTATTGTTATTGGTTCATCCACTTTTGGCCAATACTGTATCATTAAAATACGAGATATATTTTTTAGTCGACCATACTAATAGGTATGGTAGGCTATTAAGATCGGCAAAAAATTTTTTTTTTAATTTCACTCAAAATGTGATATTTAAATAAAGACCTAAATACAAAATATTTTCTTGGTGTCTGTCTGTCTGTCTGTAACACGATAACTCAAAAACCGCTGAACCGATTTTAACCAAATTTGGCACAAAAATACTGTGGCACCCGAGAATCTGGCCATTAGTTTTTGGTGGGGGTGGGGGGTTGGTAAGAGAGTATGGGAGGGGGTTAAAATTTTTAAAAAATCGTAACTCCAAAATTACAGTAGCTAGCAA